TGCCCCTCGGCCCCGCTCTGCGCCCTCAGCCCTGCTCCCCTCGGCCCCGCTCTGCCCCTCGGCCCCGCTCTGCCCCTCGGCCCTGCTCCCCTCGGCCCCGCTCTGCCCCTCGGCCCTCACCGCTGGTTCCGGGTTGCTCTCTGGCCCGGACCCTCCGGCGTCCGGGGCGGGCAGAGCTGGGCCGGGCCGGTCCAGGGAGGGTTCCCGGGGCGCCAGGTGGCCTCGGGCCGCGGGTCTCAGGAGCGGACCCCGGTTGGCGGGTGGTGTCCTGGCCCCGGGCTGAGCCGTCTTTCCAGGGGGGGAGGGACGGGGTCAGTTCCAGCCCGGTGACAGCCCTGGAGCCGGAACCGACCTTGCTTGGGCCTGTCCCCAGGATTGGCTGCGCGGCGGGCTGCTGCCGGCCACTTCCCCGAAAGGCCACCGGACATTCATCCGACGCCCTTTCTTGATCCCTCTCAAGCCCCTTTATGACAGAAAACATCAAGGAGGGGAAATGTCTTATGAACACGGTGACATTTGAGCTAGTCTAGGGCTCTGCTGACCTCCAGGTAGTGTCCGTGAACACCGTCCCCTGCGCGCTCACACGGCCAGCTTACTCTCTTCTGGAGTACATCTTAATGAATGAAGATCGGGAGGAAAGGGTGTTCTGGGGAGAAACTCAGGTGACATCATCACAGTCCCTTCTTTTAGTTGTAGAATTCCAGTACTGTCAGACAAGGAACACAATTGATGGGAATGAATTTTGGCTTTTAATTTCCATTCATTGGCAGGAATCATACCTGTGTTATGTATATCTCAGCTTCTTAGCAATCATGAAATGGTGATAGTATTGATCTTCTCTATTCACTTATTGCTTTCTGGTTTTTATCTAAAGGTAAGGTATTATTACAGAATAAAAGTCTCATTTCAAGAAACTGAGTGTATGCTGAGCATACATAGGAATTGCATGCATTTTCATAGATGCTTTTTCTGAGTAAATCCTAAAGATAGTCTTCCATGCTCATCTCTCTCCAGGTTCATTCACCTTTCCTCTGCCCTCATTCTTCCCAACCCAGTCTAATATAGTAAAGAGACCCAGAATTTATCAATAGGAGTCGACTACGTTTGTATTTCCCCTTGCAATAACAGAATTTTTTTTACCTTATTGATAATTTTGAAGTTGAAATGCTGGCAGTTTTTTGATTGGCCAAATAAAATCATTTATTTAAAATAAATATATGTTGTCTCAAGCACTGAAATTCTTCAGTTTTTCAAAATAAATATTTTTTCATCAAAGTCTGCCTTTCTCTAAAATCTTTACTTTTGACCTCATTGGGCCATCCCTTAAATTTTCTAATTAGTATCATCCGTAAGATAGTGGAGGGAAGTCTGCAAATATTTCTCTCTTTTACACATTCTTTTCTTGCCTAATTAATGAATAATTTACAAAAGTGTCCTAATTCATCTGTACTAAAATGATAGGAAAAGCATATTTGTAAACTCCAGACCATTTTATGGTTATTTTCTGAAAGTAAAATTTAGCAAGGAATAAGATATTAAAATGATACTTTAAAGGCTTAATCTTTATTACCTATACAAATATATTGGCAGCAGTCATTGTGTCCTACTGGATGGGGAGTCAGGAGACCTGCTCTCACTAGCAAGCATTGTGATCTTGGGTAAGTCATTTATACTCCATGTCCTTGCCTTTGATATTTATAAGTGAAAACAAATGGTATGTTCCTTGGAGGATTATTGTCAGGATTTAAGAATAAGTATGAATAACTATGAAAGTAAAAAATTAGGCAATTTCTTTTTAATGAATTTTTAAAAATTTTTAAAATCATTTTTTATTTATGTGGTAGTGAAGAATTAAACCCAGGACCTCATGGCAAGCTCTCTACCACTAAGTCACATCCCCTGCCCTTGTATTTCTTAATACATACAGACATCAGTCTTCTTAATAGTGTGATCATCTTTTTCTACCATTGTCATAGAAATAACATTATAACTTTCTGAGCATCTTTTTGGGTTTTTGGTTTTGGCTGTGGCTGTGGGGCTTGAACTCAACATCTGAGCACTGTCCCTGAGCTCTTTTGCTCAAGACTAGCACCCTACCACTTGAGCCACAGCGCCACTTCCAGTTTTCTGGTGGTTAATTGGTGATAAGGGTCTCACAGACCTTCCTACCCAGGCTGGCTTCAACCTGTGATTCAGATCTCAGCCTCCTGAGAAGCTAGGATTATAGGCATGCGCCACCAGTGCCCAGCTGAGGGTGTTATTTTTTGAGTCATTTGGTATGTGTAAATCTATTTTGAATACTAATAAAATCAACTTTTCACATTATTTCTTACTATCCGTGTTTGCTTCAGTCTATCAAAACCATCTTTGTCATTCATCATCTTTAGTGTTTTTTCATTATTTCTCTCAATTCCAAACATGTTTAGAAGAAAGGCTTATTACAGTGTAATGACTCATAACATACTCATAATTGGTTTATGCAAATTTAACATATTTGCTTACAAATACTTGTTTGTACTGTATGCCTTCAAAATATAAGTTCCCTAATCTATCTAGTATATATTCTAAGAAACATCATCTTTTCAGAAACTCGGTGGACATATTGTAAAGAATACATCCATCAGTAACATAGGAATTTTTTTAAAAAAGTAACACACATCTCTGATGTTTTTGTTCAACTTCATTGGTTTTAATATAAGCCTTCTTCAAGATGCAACCAAAGTATAATTTCAGGTAACAGACTCTTGTGCCTAGTGACTAGAATTGTTAATATTGCTATTAGGTTATTGTAGCAATTATTGTCCATACCATAAATATCATTTCTAGTGTATAGTGTTACAACTACTGTTCTGACTTTAGAGTTGTTACCATCATAAACAGAGACATTGGCTTATAAATATACCAGGATTTATACAATCTAATCAGTAGTGTCTTTCCTCTTCCAAGCAATCATCTTTTTTATAAACCTGGTCCAGCAATACCTCACTGCTCAAAAAAAAATTTAACTTCCAAGTTTTGGCATTTCTTTCAAAGTGTGCCTCATGTGTTTATGAATGTCCTTAATAGTTGGAAACTGCTAATAGTCTACATGCATACCCTAGATTTTTATTTTTCATTTCTGTGGGGGTTTTATACTGTCATTTATAGAAAATTACAGGAATGTTCTATACATGGTAGAAATACTGAAATAATCAGACTTATGTGGTCGTTTCATTGCAGGGAGCTAATGGCTAAATTCTATAAGCCCTTACACACACTTCTAGTCCATAGCAACCAGAAGTGATTCTGATTTTCTAATTATCTTACCTATCTCTTGATTGCTTCTTTAGTATATATATACTTGGGATCATTTTAATGGAAATCGCCCTTTTTTAACATCAGAAACTGACAGCATTTGGTTTTCTTCCAGTATCATCTCTGCTTCACCATGAAGCTTTCTTGTTTTTCTACTTGACTACACTGTTGGGTTGTTAGTAACTTCTCTGTTGGATTGTACCACATCTAGCCCTTCTGCCACCTTGCTAAGGCACAGAGAGGCTATCATCATACTGGCCAGGCTATCGTTCACCTTTGCACGGCTGCCTCATGTCAGCTGCTACTTTACAACGTTCCTCATGCAAAGTGATTCTTTATAATTCATGTCATTTTGCTACTCAAAATCCACCTGTGCCTAAAGGATGATCACCTTGGCTATCTCATTCTACTTTTCTATTCCTGTCTCCCGTTTTGAGCCTGAAGTTTCGTTTTTGTTTGTTTTCCATCCATAGTTTTCAGCCTCACTTACTAATCATAAAATGTTTGTTATCAACACCAAACACTTTGTTTTTACTGTTTTTACCTTCCTGAAATTACTTTTTCCTTTATTCTCTCTTTCCAAACATAATCAATCTTTCAACTATAAATATTTTGTGAAGGGCTTGGCCTATTAATATTCTTGCATCTTCATATTTTAATTGCTGTTATTTTTATCATTCATTTTGTACCAAATGAATACCTTGAATTTTTCTTTTTACTTTCGTTTTACATATAAATATTTTCTGAAGGTCTCAGGAACATGTTTTTTCTTTATATCCCTTTCAATACAACATAGCACAATTTGGAAAATATTCATGTAATTGTTTCATAGATGTTGAGTAATTATTTGTATAATGGTTTATAACTTTATATTTATAATAACTCTTCAGATATCTTACCCAGATATTTCATGTAATTTTACCTTTGTGGATCATTCAATAAAATCATATAAAGATGATGTTTGCCATATATTAATTCATTGGTACAATCTGTTATATTCCTATAACTTTATTTTGTAGAAGCTTTCATGAAAATGGTACATGTTAGAAGACATGAAACAAGGAAATGTTCTAAAACTCAAGTGCCTGAACAAAAATCTCGAATTGACTGGCGGCGGACTAAGAGAAGTTTCTCACAGTTATGTGACGATGATGAGGAGTTGGGTAGTGATGAGGAGTTGGGTAGTAATGATGATCTGGATAGTGAGGAAAGTATTGATAATAACAAAGAGCTTGATAGTAGTGAGGAACATCTTGATAATAAAACACAAGCAAATGAAAGAGAACTTACGTTGACCAAAGTTGAAAGTGAAAGAAGCAACAGTAACCTCATTTACACCGGCAGTGGCTCAACATTTGAAGAAGAAACGAACAAATCAAAACTTACTGACTTACTAGGTCATGACAAGCCTCTGAGTCAAGAGGAGGAGGAGCTCCACAAGCACAGTGAACAGATCTTAGAAGAGGATTTAGATGAAGAATGCGTCAAACGAGGAAAGAGAAAACGGATCGCCTCTACGATGTATGACAGCGATGAAAGTGAGGACAGTGAAGTCGTAGTTAGAAAAGTAGGCCTCAAATGTCCACGTCGAGTGGTGGAGGATGACTGCTCCTCAGTGGAAATGGAGCCAGAAAACCCTGAAAAATCATTAGCTGCCCGAAAGCGAGGACAACTTCAGAAGTTGAAAGAACTCGCAAAACAAAGGTCTCACCAGAGATACAGTAGTGGTAGAGATTTTGAGGTGTGTTGTATTTTGTTGGTAGTATTATTGTTGTTTTTAAATTTTTACTTAAACTTATTTAATTTTTATAATTGCCAAAGTACTAGATTCTCTCTTCAGCAAGTCTAGAATTTATTAGTTAATAAAATACCCCTGAACATGTTTAATTGCATGGTTGTACCTAATAGTATTGTTTTATTATAAGCCTCAGTTTCTCACTTTTTTAAATTGAAAGGCTGTTGTTCTCTGGTCTTTCCTCTTCTTAAATACTTACATTCTTAATGTCTATCTTCTTAAATACTTACATTCTTAATGTCTATCTTAAACATTTTATACCACTTAACTGAAGCATAATCTTCCTAATAAGTTTGCCATTCAACATGACAAAATTCTCTAATTTTAATCTTAAAAATATGTGCTAATTCTGTGGATTTCTTTTAGTCACAGATTTAACCTTTCAGATTTATATCCATTCTGGCCCAATTTACTGAAGCATTTATCTTAATTAGGACTCTGAAAAAGAATCTTGCCCAAGTGATAATGAGGATGATGAGGAAGAGGATGAAAAGGAAGACAATTCTGAATATGAAGAAGGAGATGATTATATTATTGATGATTTCGTAGTACAGGATGAAGAGGGTGACAGAGAGTATAAAAATGAACAAGGAGAAAAATCAACTATATCACCACTGAAATTAGTAAAACAGGATTCTCTTTGTAAGTTAAATATCAAGAACATTTTTTAACTTGGTCAAATTTATATATCAAATAAGCAAGTCAACTTTTTAACATTCATTTTCAGGTATCTTAAATGTGTGAGGCTCACAGTTATTCCAGTGCTCGCAGAAATGCTTTCAATCTAAAATATATTGACCCCAATTAGTCTTTATTTCTAGTATCTCTGTCAACATTTACCACTGTAGAAATACAATTTGAAACGTATTTAATTTCTTTATTTAAAATACAGCAACAACATTCCATGAAAGAATAAATCTATATTTTCTAAAATAAATCTATATTTTCTATATTGTTTTGCAATTCTAGATCTTGTTTTTGGCAGTACTGAAGCTTGAACTCAGGGCCTTGCTGTTTCCCTCAGCTTTCTGGCTCTTGACTCTACCTATTGATTCCTGCCTCCAATCTGACATTTTGCTGGTTAATTGGAGATAAAGTCTCAGAGACTTTTCTGCTTGGGCTAGCTTTGAAACGTGATAGTCCAAGTCTCAGCCTCCTCAGTAGCTATGCTTACAAACATGAGCCACAGAAGCCTAATGAACTATCTTTTGTTTACCATAAGAGGTGGCTAGATTCTTACACTTGCTTTGCATTTAGTCTGTTGTGACGTGCTGGTTTGTTCAAGTATATGCAAACAGTTTTCAGGCAGATAGGGAGCTGAAAAAGGGGAGGAGTGTTTTGAGAATATTTTTAAAATTTGTAACAGTTTTTAGGGGCTTTATTGTGCTAGGTTCATACAAGACATATGATAACTTATCATATTCAAACCTATCACCCTCAGTATTCTCAGAATAATTGTAGATATTCTCACATAGCTAGCTAGAAAAGGGAAGAATAGCTTAATAGCTATCTTTAAAATGATAATGGATATTCTAATTTAACGATACACCAAAAGCTGACAAATGATTTTAACTTAGTCATAATATGGAATCTGAAGCCGTGTGAGCGAATGTTTGGTGCTCACCTTGTAGTCCATTGGTCTGTGTTGAGTTTGATTGGGCCTTCTGTCCATGTTTAATTTTGTAACAATAATGTAATCCTTTGGAAAAGACCGATAGAATGTGTTATGCAGATCTTCAAATTTCTGGTATGAATTTTGCTGTATGATTTTTAAAATGTTACATTCATTACTATCACCACTAATCACATCAGAACAATCATCTGATATTAAGAAACTTCAAAAGTATGCCAAGTTCACCATAGCACATATAAGTTTATCACAATTCTAATTTCTAATGTTCCTGATAAGTTTTCCCTTAGCAACCTTGGGGACATTTAAAATAATATCTGAAAACTGCACTAGAAGCAAGTAAATTTGGAAGATGGAGATTTGCTTAGTGCACCACGTCTCCAAGGCAGCTGCAGGCTGAGTCAGCGGATTCTGCTGCTGATACTCCCAGTTTCCTCGCACTGATCATTTCTATTCAGGAGCGCTTTGTCTGCTTGATCCTAGCATTTATTTTAAATTAATTTCAGATTCTTTCAGTGATCACTATACTCACTTTAAAAGAGTTGTGAAGGCTCTTCTGATCAACGCTTTAGATGAATCTTTTCTGGGAACATTGTATGGTAAGTTTGCAGTATAAATGAAACATTAAAATTTGTTTTTTCCTAATTTTTAAACCATCACTTTTAAAATTAGATTAAACAAAATCAAGGAGAGCCATTCTTAAAACTTACCAGTTGTTTCTTCTAGGATGCACCACACCAAGAAATAGATTTGAGTGAAAAGTTCAGTGGGTTTTTCATTTGAGATAAGTAAAAAATAAGAACATGAACAGATTCATGACCCAGAAGAGCTTTCCATGAATTTGAAGAAATAAACTCCTAAAACAGTAATGCTCAGAACTCATGTGCTGGCCCAGTTTCTCTCGAGTTTTTGGAATTTCACTTCCATGCCATTTTATGCTTTCATTTAAAATGAATATAATTCATTTACTACAGAAAAGTCTGTGCTGTGGGGGAAGGATATGGAGTAAGGGGAGCTGAAATCTATGCCATGGAAGATTGATCAAAGAATGTCTCTCAGGGCTAACTTTAAATAGAAACCCGAAGTGAAGGAATAAGTCATACAGCATATAGGGACAGCAAAAACTGAGACCCCACCCCCCAGGGAAGAGTTCCTGGTATTCAGGAATGACTTAGAAGGCCTGCAGAGCTGGAGTGGAATGAGTTCTGAGACAGGGTGGAAAAATGAATTCAGGTAAGTATGTACCAGACATCAGGGCTTGGTAAAGCCATGCTGAAGTGTGACTTTGTGGCAATTTAAAAAAAAACCACTTATTAGATTCATTAGTAAAATTTCAAAAATGGCAGGAAACAAAGCATAACTTCACAGACCATGACAGATGTTTATAAATAGAGAATATAGTATGAACCAAATCAGGAAGGCAGAAGCGAGCATGGCATACCAAAGGAGAATGAGGAAAATAACCAGCTAAAAGAAAGTTCTGTTTTGTTGGCACACAAAGTCACCACTGGATCTGTGGAATGGAGCTGATTCAGAACTTTGACCTGGAATTCAGTGGTCAACCCATGCCAACTTTGTGTGAGAGAATACAAGATAACTTGCCAACCTTTTATATCTGACTCTCTTTATTATCAGAAAATAATGTAAAGTTCCCTTGTATTCTGGAGAAATGAAATTTTCATTTTTTTAACTTAAGTATTTCTGACCAAGTATCTTCCTAACACTCTAGGAAAAGGTCTTTAAATATTCAATTGATCCAATTTTTCATATGGACAGAATGATTGTTTTATTACTGTTACCAATCCCCTGGCAGATGGTACCAGGCAAAAATCATATGCGCAAGAAATGCTGACATCTCTTCACTATTTGGATGATCGCTTTATTCAGCCTCGTCTAGAGAACTTAGTTTCTAGAAGTCGATGGAAAGAACAATACAAGGTATGCACTTTGTGACTCTCATGCACTCTTGGGGAGATGGCCTCAGCAGACCTAGTCTTCCAAAGCAACAGCTTATTTCTCCTCACCTACCTTAAAGGCTATCATTGTTTTGATCATACACATGAATTTATCTGATAGTTAAGTATTGTTGGATGATAAATAAGTTTAGAACATCTCTAGGGCTTAGTGGTTCAAGGAGGCTGACACCAGCCAAAAGATGGAGACTTTCTTCAAACAATAACAAGTACAAAGGCCTGAGAGTGGGGCACATTTCATCCAATTCAGCTTTGAATTCGCTGGTGGTAAATTAGCTGTAAATTGCTAGGTTTGAGAGACATCTATGCAATCACAGAATCATAAGACTTCAAGTTGAAGAATGGCTACCATATAAAGCTTTTTGATTTGGTACATTATTAAACCTCTTAAGCCTAAGTTTCTTCCTCAGATAGAATATTTATCAGTTTAAAGGGAAATGTGGACTTACTTGGAGCATAAAAGGTGTACCACAGCTCTTATAATATAGTATACATTGTTTTCTTAATAGAAAAGCAGTAGGACTGGATGTGGTGGTGCATACCTGTAATCCTATCTACTTGGGCTGTAGAGATTGCAGTCCAAAGTCAGCTGGAGGAAAAGCTAGCAGACTCCATCTCAACAAGCAAACCAGATATAGAGTTATATGTCTGTTAATTCCAACTGGACAAGAGACTTAGGTAAAAAGATCATAGTCAAGGTAAAAAAAAAAACAACAGAATATTTGAAAATGAAAGCAAAAAGATCATAGGTTATAGCTTAAGTAGTAGAACACTTGTCAGCAAAGTTCAATGCCCTGTGTTCAAAGCCCAGTACTAGGGAAGAAAGGGAAAAAGATAACAGTATATATAGAACATGCGACTTTTGCCAAGAATTCTATGTAAATTGTGTTAGTTATTCTATGAAGTAACACATGAGGAAGTCACCATTATCTCTACTATGCTAAAAATGATGAAAGTATAATTTAGAAAAATTAAGTAACATAAGGTTCCACTGTTGGTAATTACATAGACCAGTATTTAAGAAACAGTCCAAGAAACCTCAAGAACCATGCTCTAGGTCATAGTATGCTTTCCTGTACTATGATAGGTTATAGAGAGTTTGGACAAACTCATGCTGGAACAGTATTTGTGAACTACACAGGGTGATTAGAGATACAGGTGCCTCTGTAATATCTTAGGATAAGCTAGTTCTATTGCTGAACACAAAGAAATAATATGACAGAGTCAACACTTCCAAAATCTCAATCATTTATCCCAGCAAAATGTATTTGTCAGTATGTCCAGTAGGAATCATCAAAAGTGCTCTGTTTGCTGTAGTCACTCAGGAAGCCAAGCTGACAGCTATTACCTGGGCCAGAGCTTCACTGAGTACCACAGCGGCAGAAAGTAGCTAGTCACCTTAAGATAGCTGAATCTCAGCCTCTAAGTGGCCATGTCTGGAGGAGCTATACGCAGGAGAAATATGAAGACCAGAAAGAAAACCCATGTTTTGAATCACCGTGTGGGAAAGAATCTATCAGTATTTTTGGATAGGTAATTATTGTCTGGCTAGTGGAGGATGTGAGTATGGATTACTAATTATGCTAACAGCGTATTCTTTATGTGCACATCAAATGCTACAGCAAAACCCAGTACACTGCTAACTGCCAAGGTAGTAGCTAGTACAGACCCCAAGTGTAGGCAGAAATCCTTGGCCACAATAACTTCACAGCCCATGCAGCTTATCTGTGCATGCCATGTATTTGCTCGGTTTGTTTATTCATTGTTAGTTCAGCTATTAGACTCTATCAGTAGAAGACATGTAGAAATCAGCATTTCAATGTGAATCAACAACACTACTTAGCAGTAACTCATAAGTATGAGAGAGATAAAAGTTATTCTTCCCACTTACTATCCAAGATTAAAAATCTGTTTCTTAAATTTAATAACACATTTACTGTATGCTCTGTATTAAAGTAAGAAATATGAGTGAGTTTTGCTTTTATATTTCTTCCCACTAAGATATATTTTATTTTGGCTAGATTCTTATTTTATCTTGAATTTTTGTTTTCAGGAGCGAGTTGAAAGTTATTCTTCTGTAAATATCCGTCATAAGAAGGCTGAGAACTGTACCTGTCAGGCGTGTGGGCTACATCGTCACTGCAGGTACTCCGTGCACTTGTCAGGAAAGCAGTACAACCCCAGGACTATGGAGACAGACGATTTCATGTCACATGATCAGCAGGTATTCCATTCTCTAGTGTCAGTTTTCAGTACTTAGAAACGTTCAGTTCATAAGTTTGCATAGGGAGTCCTCAGTTATATTCACCAATAGTGAAAAGAGTACAAGGAGAGAAGGTACGATTTTAATGTGAAAAGTATGTCTTACATAGCACATTCTTCCTCACTCACTGAAGTAACATTTTTCTGTACATTTCTCCTGTCATGGGAAAAGGGGTGCACAGATGGAGGGTGGTGAGGAGGAGGTCACTGGGCAGGGAGCCACAGTTGCCAAACAAGAACTGGACCCAATGAAAACTTTGATGTGATATGATCTACAATACTAGTAGACTGCAGGTAAATAATTGAGGATGACTCGTCCTAACATGAGAAATCTGAAGAAAGCTGAGCTTTCTGACTCTCTGGAGTATGTCAGAGTGCATAGCAGCCAGCATTTCCACAAGGAGGTCTTGATTGTGAATGAGTAAGTAATTGGTATACAAGAGCAGTATAAGACAACAGGAATGGCAGATAGCACTTCTACTTACCTTTAGCCTTTATAAGAATGCTGCACTTGTAAAAACAGATGTGTTAGTATCAAGCATTTCCTTTGCATATGCATGGAGTATGGAGGACGGATGAATGGGAAAGAAACCAGTTATCTCTAAATCTTTCCTGTTATTAGGTGGTGGAAATACTATTTATTTAAATTCTTCTACTAAATGAGGTAGCATGATTTCTCAGTTCTACTGTGCAATATAGTTGGTCACATCCTCTGGGCAGTAAGAGTATAAAAGTATCACTTAGAAAATGTATGTAGGCATAAGGAATTCAGTTAATATTTTTAATGTAAGTCTTTCTCAGCATAGCAGATGTACATTTTCTGCTCTTTCAAAGCTGCTCTATGATGTTCATTGAATAAAACATGTAGAATCTTAACAAAAGTGATTTAGTACTTCAAGGAATTGCACCTCTTCCTAGCTATGATTTTCATAGCTCTACCAATCCTGTGAAGCAAAAAGACTCTATATACAATAATTGGTTCAAATATTTAAAAAATATTTTGGATCACATGAAATAAGAGCAAAGGATATTAGTACACTAATCACACAATAGGAAATATAAACATTAAATTAACGGATGAATGCTTATTCCCTATTTAAGTGAAATTATCTTAAAATGTAGGTTCATAGCCTTAATGTAGCAAAATGTTTCATGCTCAATTTATAAAATGCAACGTTGTCAATATTACAGTGAGACCAGTAAACATATAGAAAATAGTATTACTAGAATGTAAGATTTATCTGGATAGCTATATATCACAAGAGACACAAAGCTATATATAGGCAGTACCTATAAGTTTGTCCTATGTAAATAAATTCAGTAAAAGCAAATGATGTCTTTGTGAAGGTCATTGAATTATTATAAGCATTGATATAATAAAAATTTGGAAACAATCCATGGTAGCAGTGTAATACTCTACAATATATCAACATTATGTGTCAGGATAAAATATAGCCATTAAAATAATATCATTATTGCTATTAATATTTACAATTATTGTGAAAGCATAGTAAAAGTAAAATAATAAGCAGTATAAACATTATCCTTTAGACCATGAGAATGACAATTTGCCTTGTGAAGGTTAAAATGTGTTTGTGACTTTAACTATCACTATTCCACAATAATGTGAAATTTATGTAGTTACCTAATCTCAATTTAAAAAATGTTCTGATCATCAGAAAACAAAAACAAAAAAATTATCCTTTGTGTAAAAACTGGATGTATGTAAACTAACCTATTGTATATTAAGCAAATGTGACTGACATTCTTTTACAAGTATGTTTATTATCATCTAGTAGTTGTACAAAGGAGCTGCCATTCAGCAGTTTGTTCACACAGTGCATCTTGATCAGTGTCACCCCTTTCCACATGCTCCCTCGTCCCTCCCAACCCATGCCTTCTCTCACTTTTCCTAATTTTGTAGGAGATATATTGACATATTCTCTCCCACTTTTTCTCTTCATTTGTCTACCTCCTAACCCTTGACATTACCCCAACCCTTTCAAGTACCTATTTCTTGGTATTTGATTTGTTGAATTATGATTTTGCCTTTCTAAGGAATTACATTGTTTGAGTTCTGTCTTGAATCTACCATATTTTAGTTAATACATTTGTGTACACTTGTGTACCATCCAGTGTACTTACTTACATATTTAATAAACTAATTCTAGGCTGGGTGCCCGTGGCTCACGCCTGTAATCCTAGCTACTCAGGAGGCTGAGATCTGGGGACTACGGTTCAAAGCCAGCCTGGGCAGGAAAGACCATGAGACTCTTATCTCCAATAAACCACTCAGAAAACTGGAAGTGGTGCTGTGGCTCAAGTGGTAGAGCTCTAGCCTTGAGCTGAAGAGCAGAGGGACAGTGCCCAGGCCCAGAGTTTAAGCCCCACAACCGACAAAACAAAAAACAAAAAAAACTAATTCTAGCTTCCACATATGAGCAAAACCATGTAACCTTTGTCTCTCTTGGCCTAACTTAATTCACTTAACCTAATTTTGTCCAGGTTCTTCTATTTCTTTGCAAACAATGCAATATGATTCTTTAATGTCAAATTGTATTTTTAGTGAATTTTTTTTTGGTCGGTCGTGGGGCTTGAACTCTTGGGTCTGGACGCTGTCCCTGTGCTTTTCAGCTCAAGGCTAGTGCTCTACCACTTGAGCCACAGCACCACTTCCGGTTTTCTGGTAGTTAATTAGAGATGAGTCTCACAGACTTTCCTGCCCTGACTGGCTTTGAACTTCAATCCCAGATCTCAGCCTCCTGAGTAGCTAGATTACAGGTGTGAGTCACCGGCACCCTGCTAAGGGAATAATCACTTATTAAAATCTATTTTAAGAGCTAAGCTTTGAGGCTTATGCCTGTTACTACAGCTACTTGTGAGGCAAGATGAAAGGATCAGAGTTCAAGTTAGTCAGGCTAAAAAGTAAGACCCTATTGCAATGAATAATCATCTAGTAGTTCATAGTTATAATCCCAGTTATGTGGGAGATATTCTCAGCCTGGCCAGGGAAAGACAGCAAAAAAAAAACTAAAAGCAAAAATAACTGAATGAATTTTCCATTTTGAAGTGCTGCTGTAGGTACATAAAGCTGATACCCTGGGATTAAATTGAGTTCTTTTTTTAAGGTGCAGTCAGTACTGTGAAGAAATTCCTTAACTGAATTTGTCTAATGAAAAAACTTTTCACCTCATGTCTTTGAAAGAAATAATACACTGTTGGAAAGTGTGATTATGGTGAATGAGTCATTTCATTACAGCAGTGTGGGGTAGGGTGCTGAAATGAGAGGCCTTGGATCTCCAGAGTGGGGACACCTGGGTTACCTGGAGGACAGAATGGTGTGAGACTGAAAGTCAGCTGAGAAAACTAAGGATCTTGAGTCAACTGCCCAGAATCTGCCTGGACTCCTTCAGCCTCCTCTAACCTGAGGAAAGAAGTTGCAAATTTGAGAAAGTGGCCAGCCTTACACAGTATGTGCATGTCACAAGCAGAGCTGGAGAAGGAGGATTCTTCTCTGTTGTCTACGGCACTGTGGAAGATCTGGAGATCTAACACAGGAAACAGACTTCATCCCATCTTCCTCTTTCATACAAATCCTTCACTCCCTCAAGTTGCTTACTGGTTGAGAATATCCTTAGCTAACTGGATACTGCCAAATCTGCATAATGCAGTTCTGTCCAGTTGTCTTGCCTGGGTGAGCAGTGTTGATTGACATGTCCATAAGACAGACTTCTAAATTACAACTAAGATTCTGTCTATGGCTCCGCCACTCAGCATCTTTAGCCTTAGGAAAATTTTGGTGTGTGTTCAGCTCCATGTCTGATTTCTAGATATGCAGGGTTGCTTGGTTCACACTGACAACTGATGTGACCCCATTACCCTCAGATTCGTTGGTTCACGGAACCAGGCCAACCCTGAGTAGTGGGTTAGTGGTTCGTGTTTCACATTGCTTATTACATAGCACTTATTTGATCCATTCTTGCTGTAATTGTTTTATTCGTGTACAGAAATATTCTTAGGCGATTAGAAGCAGCCTCCATATACATATGTGGAAATTTTAAGGAAACTACTCAGGATATGGATTCTTTTTGGCTATTTATAGTACTTTAAACAAATGGAATATTACAATATAAGCTGCCTTGTTCCTTGCCTATCAGTTTCTATGATAAAGAAGAATCATATTGGCTGAGTGCCAATAGCTCACCCCTGTAATCCTAGCTACTCAGAAGGCTGAGATCTGAGGATCTTGATTCAAAGCCAGCCCAGGGAGGAAAGTCTGTGAGACTCATCTCCAGTTAATCACAGAAAAAGCCAGAAGTGGCACTGTGGCTCAAGTGGGGGGAAAAAAGGAGCCTAGGGACAGCACCCAAGCCTAGATCAGCAAAAGAGGAGGAGGAGGGGGAGGGGGAGGGG